TTCATCAGCCTGAGACCAGAACTAGATGGTGCCCGGCTACCACCAATGAACATCCTGACAGGGAACACAACAGACGGTCCCTGATGGAGCAGTAGAACGATGAGATGCAGAACTGAAATTCTAGTAAGAAGACCAGACTTAATGGTCTAAGACTTGAGGCACCCCAGAAAGCATGGCCCCTGGTCTCTCCATCACCCCAGAACTAAAACAATTTCTGAGGCCAACTCTTCAGACAGGGATTGGACTGGACTGTGGGACATAAAGTGATACTTGTGAAGAATGTGCCTCTTAGACAAGTAGATACAAGAGACCAAAGGGGTAGCTTCTGTCCAGAGGTGAGATGGGAAGGCAGAGAGTGTTAGGAGCTGGTTGAATGTTGATGGCAAATCAGGGGCAGAGGGGAGGAGTGTGCTGTCACAGAATGGGGTGAGTGGTTGGGGTCTCATAACAATGTATATAAAAAAAAAAATTCTGTATGGGAGACTAACTTGAAGTGTAAACTTCATTTAATTACAACAATAAAAAAAAAAAAAGAATTCCTCTAAGGTCTGATACAACAATACAACCAAGATACACTGGACTTCTTAAACAGCAGATGAGTCTAAATATTTTAAATTAGTTAAAATACACTTACCACAGTAATACTGAGGACAACAGAATTGTGTAGAATTAAGATCCACGGTGAGAAATTCCCCATCAGTACATAGTGGAATAGGTTCAGTGCAAGGTTCACAAACTAAAGGCAAAACAAAAAAGAGCACAGCTGAGCTAAATACAAGCTAGTTATTAGCTCAGAATACCACACACAAAATAAAATCTAAATAAAAAATATTGCACTTAATCATGGCTTTGAACTAGTTCATTCCAGTTTGAACCCCCACGGAGAATTTGCATTTCTATCATGTTCCCAGGTGACGCTAATGCTGCTCATTAGGGACCAGTTCTGAGAACCATTAGCAGAGCAGTGATTCTCAAAATTTATTATATACAAGAGTCACCTGGGGATCTTGTTAAACCGTAGGTTCTGATTCAGTATATCTGGGGTAGAAACACGAATTCTCTGTAAAGTGTTCAGTCTGGACCAAACCAGTTCAAAACCCTGAATTTAATAAAATTGGGAACAAGGAAAATAAGACTTAGACAGGTCTCCTTATTTGGTCATAAAGACAATAATACTGCCTGAGTACAAATGCTTTCCAAGCACAGTAACAAATAGAACACCATCTTACCAGAAATATAGGGCATTCATATTTCTAGAATAATTTGTTCTTTCTAGGATCAAAATATCATTGACTTGTTTATTTCAAATTTTCTTAATTCACTATCCTTGATTACTCCACTTTATAGATGAACAATGTAGTAGGCACCTGTTCCTTTGGGTTGTTCACCATCTCGTTCCCATTTTGGTAATAGCTCTCTGTATGACCGTGAGGAAATGCCCCACCCATACAGTTTTGGAGTTACTTTCAATAAAGATGCCTTGTCCTCAAAGGACAACTGTGTAAGAATATAACCCAAATTAGACTAATCAGATATCTTTCCATGGAATTGAACTGTGAGCAGGGGCACACCACGGCAGAAAATGAAAGCTCATTCAGCAATGCCACCACCTAGAGCAGCTGCTTTCTCTCCTTCCCAGGCCTGGCTGTTCTGTTTCATCTTGATTATATGTACTTCCCCCAAATACTTCCAATAATTGGTTGTGCTTAAATAGCCAGAGTCAGTTTCTGCCACTTGTGGTCAAAGAGCCTTAACTAACACAAAGAGATTTGTTTTGATTTTTCATGGGTACGTTTAAAACATAGGTACATCTGAAACCTACATTAATCACCAATATTTGCTATGAGAATTAATTTGAAGTAGAAAAATAGAGAATTCAGTGTCCACTTCATTAGACAGAATACATAGCCCCATGTACAGTCATTTCCCAGACACCCTTTATTGATACCATTCTCTTTCAAAAGATTATGATAGTTTACACCGAGTATATAGGAGCTGAAGTTTTAAAGAGGTCCCATAATGTTTTAGCAAAATCCATTATCCTGGCTAGTTCTTAAATAAAAGCCAGTGCTAAATTTTCTCTGAAAGGAACTAGTTATTAGCTTTATTAAACAAAAAAAAAAAATCATTGATTGTATTATCTTGGTCATGCTGAGTCAGACATATATATGTGTGTGTGTATATATATACACATATGCATATATGGTATATGGTCATGTTGGGCTGGGTGTATATCTGTATATATATACATAGACATATATGTATATATACATACATGTATACGTATATATGGAGAGAGAGTTTTTTGTTGATAAGGGAAGGTAATAACAATTGTAGTAGTTGTAAAGAGTCATTTATAGCTCTCGTTCAGTTGCATTATCATGAGTTTAATATCAGAATATTGGTTACCATCACTCATATTAAATTCATATCAAGTAAGAGATTTCCCTTAGATCTTCTCTCCTTTCAAGAAATTATCTCTCAGAACACTCACCACAGAGAGGGGAGAAACAACAAGGTTCTCCCTGTTGAACTTGAATCATAAATTGGTCTTCTCTGCATTCTGGTATTGGAATATCAGGGCATTTGACTGGGTCACATTCTGCAGAAGCAAAAAGATGTTTGCAAATTTGTATAGCACAAAATGGTTGAATAAAATGAAATAATATTGTTTATTTCTCTTTGAATTTAGTGATTATTTTTTAAAGATCTTAATCTTAGCAGAAATACAGAATAGCAGATTTTATATATATATATATATATATATATATATATATACCTACTCCTCACTTATCAACTATCTCATTATCTGACATTTCCTATTTACCACAAGTTTGAAAAAATTCTCAGGTGGCACCTCTGATGGTCCGGGCCCCATGCAGGGCCATCACTGGGCCCGGGACACCCTCCATGGGCCACCCCAAACAACATACTGGAGGTACCGGCAACAACTGGGCCACGTGAGGGATGGTGGCCAACTGGCCGCAGGCCACCTTCTCCCGTTCATGCATGACATCTAGATCCAGCTACAGAGGGTCAGGGTAATGGTGGGACAATGCAAGATTGCAAGCAGGCAGGAGGAGGCTGGAAGAGGGCCCAAAAGTGCCAGGGAGGTAGATACGGGGAGGCAGGAAGGGGCAGGAGAGGGAAGGAGGCTGCATGGGGCTACAGAGCCAGGGCAGATGGAGGACAAGTGGGGTCCCCACCCAGGGCAGGAGGTAGTGGGCGGAGGATGAGCAGGGTCCCTGCCCAGGGTGTGAGGCAGGAGGCAGCGGGCAGCAGGCAACACCCATCCACCAACACTACCACCCCCAATCCCCACGGGCCCCACGGTGGTGGGGAAGGCGTGGTGGAGAAGCAGGGCCTACTGTACCATGCACATGCTGAGCTGTGCCGGGGGCGCTTGATGGGTGATGAGTGACTTGGAGGAGGGGTGCACCAGCACCAAAGACAGGCTTGGGGCATAATACTGATTTTGCATAATGACCTGGTCTTTGGAACCTACCCATGTTGGTAAGTGAGGAGTGGGTATATATATATACACACACATAAAAAAAAGAAAAACCTGTTGCTGTCGAGGCAATTCCAACTGATAGTGACCCTATAGGACAGAGTAGAACGGCCCCATAGGATTTCCAAGGAGTGTCTGGTGGATTTGAACTTCTGACCTTTTGGTTAGCAGCCATAGCTCTTAACCACTAGGCCACCAGGGTTTCCTCACATACACATAAAGAAAGAAATAGCAGGTTAAAAAAAAAAAAAAACACCTATATTTAGCAAGCCAATGCCACAAACTTTTCTAATAAATAATTTCCTTGGAGTCACGAGGAATGAGACTCTACTTACTATGCTGAATGGACAATGACCCTCACTCTTATTTCTCCTAAGTGATTACTCACCACATTGGTACTGTGGACAGCAAGAAAGAGGGCTATGGCCAATGACCAATTTTTGACTACTCATACATGTCGGAATGGTAGTGTCACACAAAGCCATGTCACATCCTGGAAATAAGAAACAGAAACATTAAAATATTAATGAACATAGCTAGAATCTTACACTGCTAACTCAAAGCCAGTCAATGACTCTCACTATACATGTTTTTACATTGCGGTTAAGCCCATTCAGCTCACAAAATGGATCACATGTGAAAAAGCAGCAGCTTTAAGTCTGTTACATCTTTCACCCCTGCTTGTCATAAGTGAAAGCTTCCTAAGTCTCTTTTATTGTCATGTATTGATAAATATGATTCATTGCCAATAGCCATATTTTTGCATGCATATTTGCAAAATCAGCAAAACTGTAATAAATCAAAACTTGCTTTGAGAACGTATAAGTGACATTTATGGCAGCACTTAAACACTGTTATCTCAACCTTGATTTTTTTTTATAGCAAATATCACGTATGTCCTGCTTTTTAACAGAAAATATCAACACGTTTTGTAGCATTAACTGACTATAAGGCATCAGCCTGTGTACTTACCGCAAATTTCCTCTGAACAGCAGGTCTCTTTATCAACAATGTCCATGACAACTTCACCTTCTCGTTCACAAATTGGTGAGGGCTCTTCACGGCAGTCAGACTCTACAGGAATAATGCTTCCATTCTCCAAACATTTGTACAGAGAGCATTCGTCAATACCTCCATTCCAAATTTCCCCAGCAGCGTGGGGTTGGTCTTCAATATCAGTACACACTTAGAAAGATTAACAATATTATGTCACTCATAACCTGGACACTAAAATAAATCAAGTACAATGTTTTGATTTCAGATGGTGACACAGCCCACTGATGTAGATGCTATGTCGCATATCTATCCTTCTCAGATTCTTCTTTTTTTCATCAGATACTCATTATATTTTTCTTTAATGAAAGTTTTGATTTAGTCTGCTGAAAATATTTTACCTTCTATATTTGTGTGTATGTTTTCTTCTATAAATAAGATGCTTTGTTAATTATTTTTGATACATTTTAGCCTTTTAAATAAAATTTCCATTAGTTGGAACTTAGTAATATAAATTTAAATCAGATTTAAAATATTAAACATTGAAATAATTGGTACTAGAAAATAACGTAGCCCTTACATCACATTAACATTTGTGTCATGAAAATTCAAAATGTTTCCACTTTAACAAAAATCTAAAAGGGGAAAGTAGGCAATTAGGGAAAATATTGTTTAGTGTCTCTGTTTATTTTATTGTAAAAGTATTCCTTTTATGTTAAAAATGGCCCTCTGGTAGTTCTTTTTAGGAAATATAGAGACATATGTGACCAACCATGTCCCCAGTATCTAATGAGCTTCTCTTTTATTATCCCATTTATTAGCCAATCAATTTCATAGGTTTTAAAGAACAAACATAAGCACATCTGTGGGTTCTCAAAGTCTTCCACAGATGCTTTCTTCACTGGCAAACACAAGCTTGTTCCCGAAACTATCTATGCATTTCACTTCCATCAGTTTTCCCTTTACTTATTAGCAAATTCCTTTTACTTCTGACATGATGATGAGCATGATGAGTCCCAAGACTGGCAAAGTATCATGCTGCAATTTTCTCAATTTTGTACTTTTTTCATCTACCACCACCGTGAAGACAGTATGTCAGGATGAAATGGTTTGAAAATGAAAGTAGAAATGTTAAACACTTCCCCCAGGTAATAATACTATCTTCCATTTCTTGAGTGCTTGTTTTTCTCCAGGCACTGTGCTAAATGTCAAATACTTCTTACTATTTTATTTATCCCCACAATAGCTTTATGGGATAGGTACTATTATTTTCCTCATTCATAGATACATAACCTGATGTTCAGAGAGGTAAAGGTGAGCCATTGGTACATGGGACAACTGTAATTTGAATTCAGTCCACAAATTACACTCTTAATTCTTAATATGCCATTCTCTCTCCCAGTTATTAGAGGCACAGATAGAGATTAAACTACATCACCTCTGAAGCACCTACTTTTGTTAACTTCAAATGAAACCATATTAAGTAGAAACCACAAACAAACTTGTTTCCTTTCCAACACTGAGGTTAACTTGATCAATCTTTCTTAGCATATGTCTCTCAGGTCTAAAAATGTTTTGTTTTGTTTTTTTTGTTGGATCCCTAAAAAGTCATTTTTACTTTGCTTCTTACCACATTTTTTCTCTGGAATGCACTCAGCTGAATCTGGCCTGTAGAGAATGGTTCCATTTTTGCACACACAGTCTTCTCTTAAATTCAAACATGAGGAGTAATCGTAGAACCATTTGTTTAGACACGTTCTTGCTTCACAAGGTTGCACACAAGGCTGATATTCCTTCCCCTCTGGGCAACTCAGAGCTATGAGTTATAGAAAACAGAATTTACTAATGATAAAATAATCTATCTGAATTCTAATGAAAGGAATATCAGATATCTTTCTGAAAATGAATTTTGCACATTTTAGTCTCTTTAAAGTTCATTTTTCATTTTCTGTGCAACCATAAATCAGAAACAAAACCATCGATGGGTATTTTTAAGCACCTACCAGTGTTCGGCTAATATTGGATGTTAGAGCAGTAAAAGTTCATTTAATTTATATGAAGTAAATATGACCAAGAGGCAGCCAAAGTCTGGCATATAGAGTCAACTACTATTAAGTTCGTGCTCTAAGCAGTGAGAGGAGATAAAACAGTGTGCCCAGAATAAGCATGAAGATGCACTTGAAATATGTAATTCAACGAAGTTATAAAAAAGAAAAATGCTGCATATTTAGGTTTAATCCTTCACTGTAAAAAGTTACTGCTGGTACTGAGCAGTTTCTAAATGATGTTTCAGAAAATTCTTGCTGATTTGCAGTCATCTTAAAAAGCCATACTGGTAAGAAATGAACACTCAGCTGGTGGGGGTGTTCCCAGGTGAGAACAACTTGACAGTGTATATACGCTTAAATTGGAGATTGCACACACTCTGTATGAATCAGCAACTCCAATCTAGTAATAGTGATTATCACTGGGGAAGGAGGGAGAAGAAAAAGAATAGAAGGGCATAAAAAAGCTTCATTTTTAAGTGTTTCATTTCTGAAGCTGAGTAATAGAACTGGTGTTTGTGGTATATTATACTTTCTCCATACTTTTCCTTATTACTGAATTATTTTGTGATAAAAAAATGAAAAGTAAAAGAATGAAGTTAATGCTTAAAAATGGAATGTTATTTAATGGTTGAAAAATACTCTTTAGTTAATAATCACTTACAGCAGTAATCAGGTGTTCTCCATTGAATACAGATGTCAAACTTGTTGCAGAGAGCTACATAAGCAGAGAGTGCATCACATTCATAGTTCAAAAAATTGGTATAATTGATCCACATCTTTTCACAGAAATTCTGCGGTGAAACCTATAGAGATACGTTTTGTCTTGGGATGAGTAATGTTTAGTCCTCTGAAGACCCTAAGCTAGACTAAGACTATTTGGAGAATCAAAGGGTCACAAGGTAACATTCATTATGGTTCCTCTTAAGCCTTAGACTTTCAAAAATGTATGACATCAGGTGCCAACTATGATTTACAATATTTTTAAACACACATTTTAGATAAGATGAATATTGTCTACAATATTGTCCGTCTTAGAAAGAGAATGTGGACCTACAAAAACCTACTTCTGATATACTTTTGGTTACAATTGTTCTTTCTATATACTGAATAAGAGTTTGATCTATTATAGATAAAATTGGAACTCCTGAAATATTCCCTAATGATACGTAGTATTTCATATTAAATGAGGGTATGTACACTTCTAAAAAAAAACTATTAATATTGAATATAGGTTGAATAATTTATATAATTTTGCATGTCTCAATTTAGACTGTCATTTTTTATATACAGAATACTTTTCATTTTGATCTAAAGATGCCTGAAATCTAAATAATTTATCTTGTAATTTAGCATTTATTCCAATTTTTCTCTCTACTTATTCATTCAGCAAACAATACTGAGCACACTGGGAGGCTAAATTCTAAACAGGTCAAAGGGTCAGATAAAAATACTTATTTTTCATATCCCATAATTTCTTCTTCAAGGACCACATCTTTAATAACCAAGATTCTACTTCCTCTTCAGTCTCCTTTGTTAAATCTCTTCAGATTCAACCACTTCACTTTACACAGAATACTTGGCTACTGTCATCAACAGCCTCCTATTTGTCAAACTCAGTGAACACTTTGCTATCCTAACTCCCACCCCACTCTCTCACAGTCTATGATGCCTTAGCACTCCCTGTTTCTTAAAACCCTCTCCACTGACTTTGAGGACACCATACCCAGTTTCCTTTCAGTCTGTTTGTCATTGTCGTTTCTTCTTCCTGCCTCTCATTCTGAGTGTTTCTGTACATTCCTTCCTGGGCAGTTATGTCTTCTCACTCCAAATGCTCTTCCTGGGCTCAACCAGTCCCATGGCATTTAAATCCCATTTGACTCAGTTTCTTCATATGTTAAATAGAGCCAATAATAACATCTACTACTTATGATTGCTAAGAAGAGTAAATAAACTAATATATGGAAAGTATACAGAACAGATCCTGATACATCATAAATTAGTTATCATTATTTTTTTTAACCCACATAATAACTTACAAAACCTGATAGCTGGTCAACTTTGCTCCTTTGAGCTCCAGAATTCCGTTTCTAAGTTTCTTCTGGATATTTTCACTATGACGTCCCACACGACTTAATCTGTCCAAAATAGAAAGTTTTCTCTCTTCTCCACTTCACCCACAAAAACTGATTCACCCATTCATTTACATATTCTTTCATAATTTTGAGCACCTAACTACATATCAGACACTGTGCTATGCATTAGGAATATAAATGTGAATACAACAGACATGTTCTTTGCCTTGTGGATCTCATAGACAAAGAAAAGCCTTTGAGTAGGATCAAGAGGAACCACCACGCCAAAAAGAATTAGAGTGGGAGGCATTCCATCTGGGGAAATGGCAAGTACTAAGGCCCATTGGCAGGAAAAATCTTGGACTATTCAAAGAGCTGAAAGAAGGCTGAAATGGCTGGAGCTTGACAAGCAAGAAGAGTACAGCATCAGAGGAGGCTACAGAAGTAGGTGGTGCCAGATATAGATGACCTTGTGAGTCCTAGTAAAAAGTTTGAATTATACTCTAAGAGTAAGTGAAAGACACTGAAGGGTTTTAGAGAAACAACACAATCTTGTTTACATTTTTAAGAGGTAATTCTGCTTGCTATGTGGGAAACAGATCAGCAAATGGAGGTGAATTTAGAAGTAAGAAAATCAGAACAATGTTATTTCATTAAACCAAGTAAAAAGTGATAGTTGTTTGCATTAATATGTTAGCATAGGCAATAGGAAAAAATGTGTAGATTTTGAACATGTATTTGGGAGTAGAATCAACATGACTTGGTGATAGCTTGAATGGAATAGACTGAGAATGAAGGTATCAAGAAGTTTTGATCTTAATACATACCCAGTAGTTTAAGCTAGAAGTTTGAAATCATTCACAATTGTTCATTCTCCCTTAACACTTACATCTTTAAATTCTACCTACTGTAAGTGACAAATGTCTCCCGAATCCTGTCTATCCTTTTCAGACACACAGCTACCCTGCTCCCCAGTCAGGCGCTCACCATTTTCTCAAAGAAGTTTTGCTTTAAAATAATTTATAAGGGTGCAGTGTGATTACTTACTTTTGTGTGTGGCCTTTCTAGCCATGGTCTTGTAACTCCCATCCAGGTGACTGCGCAGAACTGTGTGATAGAGTAATTTGTGGCCCACCAAGGGGATTGGTAAGTTTTGCCTTAAAAGAGAGCCAATTTCAGAGCAGAGACGAGGAGTCCACCACCACCAAGGAAAGAGAGACCAGCAGGAGAGACCTAGCAGTACAGACCTGGCAGCAGGAGACGGCACTGTGGACTTCCTGGCCCTTGGAGAGAGAAAGCTGAGTGCCTTTAGGCAGAGACTGAGGGCCAGGGAGAGGCATGCCTGCGAGCACGGCTGCGAAGAGGTTATCCTGATGGGATAATTGTATCCTGAGTGTTCCTGAGCCTGAATTGTAACTGTTACTTCCCTAATAAGCCTCGTAATTGTGAGTATGGTCTGTGAGTTCTGTGTGGTCATTGCAATGAATTATTAAACCCAGCAGAGTAGAGATGCTGTGTGAGGAAGGTTAGTGTTAGAATTAGTAAAGATGGCAGAGAGAGGAGGCTTGTCTGGCCTCTGCCTCATGGGAGTCAGACTTGCACTGCTGATCTTGGTTCTCCTTTCCCCTTGTGGGATTGGAGGAGGTCAGACACTGCCCCCAAGTCATTTTTACAAAGGGACAGGGTGTGAGCAGAAAATGTGAGAAGGATAGATGAAAAATAGGCCAATTGTTAAAGCTAGCTAATGGCTACATAGGTTCTTATACTATTCTCTCTACTTTTGTGAATGTGTGAGCATTACCATAATAAAGAGTTGTTATAAAAAAAAATTAAAAACTACCCAATAGGTTTCTAATTAGCCTCCCTGTCTATTTCATATTCTTCACTCCTTTAGACAGATCTATTGAGCAAATCTGTCATGTCCCTCCCATTTTTTAGTGCTTACTTTTCTGTTTTTCTTATAACAAACTTTCACCAAAGTAAATTCTAAAAGCAAAAGGTGGAGGAAGAGAATATTTATTCCTAGGTTGGTTAGTTTCTCAAAAAAAGTGACTCAAACTAAAAATTTCTTTATAATTAAAAAAAATGAAGTATTTTTTTAAAAATCATGCACATTTTATATTCTGTTCCTTAATAGTCTTTTAAATAAAAAGAACCTAATTAAGATTTGAGACTTTGAAAGAAAAGAAATATTCCGTATATATTTCATTGATACATGGGCAACTTGCTATTGAATTCAGTTTCAAAATAGCAGTTTAAGAAATTTGGGGTGAATTCAAGAGAATCAAATATGCAGTTCATCATTCAGGCAGTACTATTTCTTCTCCATCTTGGTTTCTAAATATCTCATGATCTTAGACACTCAATAAATGTAGATAAAAAGAAAACACCTGCCTCACTGTTGTAAAAGCTATGCCAGTTATCACTGAATAATGGTGATAAGAATGTAACCAAGTAAATTGTCTGTGACACATCTTCAGACTACTGTGGACAGAATCCTTACAAGCTTCTAAGGGTCTCTTTTACTATCTCAGGGAAACACTAATACAATGACCTTGGGAGTCTAAAACTGCTAGTAGTTCTCACATTTAATTCTTCTAATCTTATTCTTAAACTTTATTTTCATTGCAGTATTTCAGTCATAATTTGTCTTAGAACTGTTGACCAAAAGTACCAAGTCTTGAAAAAAATATCTGCCTTATAATCCAACTTTGTGAGCTTTTTTTTTTTTAATCATTAAAGTGAAAACAATCCATTCACATTATTTAGGATTTACTTATCTTCTTTTTCCTTAGGGAAAAATTATATTTCAACTATGACTGTAAAAACATTTTAACCAATTAAACTGGTTTATATCTATGTAGCAGATAAAGTAGCCAAATAAACTTCCCATTTGATTATAAATTTGTTGAAGGAGATATTCAATCTACAGTACTTTTAAAAGTTATAATAACATTTTTACCACATCTTTGAACACCCTAAGAAAATATAAAAGTAAGAAGTTCCTGGTGAACAGAATAAGAGATTTAATGAGAACATTGATGGAAAACAGGCCTCCCTCATCTATGCACCCTGTTCACCAGAAAACTTCTATTTCTTCCTTAAAAGTTCTTCACTATATTTTTTTGGTTGGTTTTCTTAGGATTTGTACTCTCATCTTTTACCACGATGCAATGTGCATATTAATAAGTTTCTACAGACATCATCCATATAAAGTGAACAAAATTAGTAAAATTATCAAATTATCAAAGTCTGTGCTTTTATCCAATTGACTATTAAACAATGAAATGAACCTCATTTTCTCAGTTCATTATTTAATATGCTTTTTAAGAGCATTAAAATCTGTCAGGTGATGTGTTATTTAATCAGGGCACTTCTTTGTGTTTGGTTCCAGAACAAATTCAGCCATAGCTACAACATAGAATTTAATAAATGTTCTATTATTTCATGACCTTCACATTCCAAATGATTCTAAAACCAGTCTTAAAAGAAGCTTCTGATCCATGATCACGCTTGTGTTATTTACAAAAATAAAACGAACAAAATGTTTGTAATTAAACTTTGCATGATTAGTTTTTAAATGTTACCTCAACAGTAGTTTCATGCATTATTGATTTGGATTTTTCAACATAAGATACAAGATTCATTGGCTCATTTGCATTTCCACAATAAATAAAGTCCATGTTTTAAGTAAGCATTAAGGTACCCGCTATACTTGTTAGATTAGCCACTTGGGCTATCTTCCAATTCCTCTTCTATTTTTGGACTTCAGTTTTCCTTTTTTTTGACCTTAAATTCACTGTGAAGATCCTAAGGGAAATGCTGAGTCTATCACTGAATCAAACGGTATCCTGTGTTAAATCACTACGCCCTGAATATTCAAGTTGAAAATTTTCCTGATTTAATCAACCATCCAAGTTCCCAGCTGAAAATACAGTTTTAAACAATCATTGTGCTTTAAACAGATTAAAGTGACACTGAAATGAGGTTAAAAAAAAGTTTGCTATTTTTTTTTTTCATTTTATACACACGTATTTTAAAAATGTAAACATTTGAGATTTTTTTCATCAAAATCTTCATGTAAAGCTGAAGCTCTAGGAAGATATGCCATTTTTAATCCTATGATTTCACATTCTTCACCTTCTTACCACTTTTACTCATAGCTCAGCCTGAGAACTTTCGGGTCTACACTTCCCCATCTGGGTCTAGCATAAAAGGTCCTTCACTATTAGCTCCTTTCTGCTTTGAAAATTCCCTCACTCTCCTCCCCAGAAACTTCCCCTCTATATACCTTGCACTAACCTGTTTCAATGTTTCCCTAACATGACCAAACCCCCTTTTGCACATATTGTTTCCTCTGCCTAGGTCTTCCTTTTTCCCTCTTCTCTCCTGGTAGACTCATCCTTCTAAACAGCTCAAACATTTAAAACTCCATGAAATCTTCTCCAAACCTGGGGTCCTATGCACCGCATATTATATACTGCAATGTATCTGGTTTGTATCTATGTATGCTTGCTTTCCCACTAAACCATGAAATCCTCAAGAGCAGAGAGGGAGTCTTCTTCACCTTTGGATCAGAGGAGTCTAACACAGGGCCTAGCATGTGGTAGATGATCAATAACATTTTGCTAAATAATTCATGAAATACTATATTAACTTGTTCTTTGTCTACAACAACCGGTTCTTTTTTAAGGATATAGATTATTTAAAATATCTGCTAGTCACAAACTCAGAAAGTTAAAGACTAATAAAGACTTGATTAAACTGAATATGTGACAGTTCTATACACCTAAGTGGCCAGGATCATAAGGAATTGATTAAATCCTCATTGTCAGCTTTCTATTCTTGGTTAGCAAGTGGCATTGATCTCCCTCTCCCAGAGGCATTTATTCATAGGACAGAATTTCATTTTTCTTGAAAGTTGTAGATATAATTCTGACAAAACAGAGGGAGAAAAAAGAAAATTAGCTTTCCTGTCTCTGGAAGTCTATAAACAGCAAATGGTTCTGAATTCCAAGGCATACTGACAGAAGGTCTGTTGATAAACTTTCTCAATAGAACATCAAAACAGGAATATAGCGGCTTTTACTTTCAATATGTCTAACATGACAGTTCTTATTTACGGTTGCTTTCAACTTACTTTATCATGGCATGGAGTGAAAACTCTTCTGCTTAACAACTCAATGCAGTGACTGCAATTGTGCTCAGTACAATTCCTAACAGGTCTCCTGGTTGTTACTTTAAATGATTTCTCAATTTCCCAGCTTTCAATAAACAATTCTATGTCTTCCATATTGGTAATAATTGTGCCATTTTGCATCCTTAGATCATCATCTGGATCATCATTGCAAATTCCTAGAACGAACATGTGACATTTAGATGGGAAAAAAAAATCTCACTTAAACCAAATATAGGCAGCAGAAGTAAATTAGCTAATAACTGATTTTAATATAATGAATTATTTACTGAATTTATTTGTCCTTCGGCTTTAACATTGATAGTTTTTTTTTTAATTATGTGTCTGATTTTTTGAAAATAGTATAGAACCACCTTAACCATATAAGAAAGAATTCATGATCCTAAAAGTCCAAATATTTGAAAAAACCATGAAGATGAAGAAGGAGGAGTTTGATTCTGCTCTCATGCTTTCCCACTATTACTGTCATCTCCAATTAAGAACTAGTTCTCAAGCCTGAAGAGATATTTCCCAGTATCATGGACATTTGGTAATTGCATCCCAGGCATCCATCGTCTGGGAGACCCCTTCTGAAAACATTAATTTTTTTTTTCCATCTGGGAACTATCCCTTCCCCATCGTATATATAGCACATGACAGTATACCCCAGGAGGGCCCCAACTGGTATAAAGATAATCCTTACTCCTTTGCTTCAGCAACTGTTACAGGTAATCCAGGGATAAACCAATCAGGTCATGGCAATCACTTAGACACAGGCATTCTTTTCAGTATTAGGGCAACCACTATCAAGTTCAGAACTTGAACTGGAAATTCTAGAACACACGTAATCTCCCTTCCTTGGATGACATGGCCTGTTGATGGCATGGCTATGACACCTTTAGTTACTACAGCCTCTAGTTTCCTTGAGGAAGGCTAGACAGAAGATGGAGCTTACTCTTTGTCCAGTGGTGTGCAGAGCCAAAGGCAGTACAGAGAAATGGAACCAGAACCTTGCTTGTACCTTACCTGAATCCTATCCTATCTAAAAACTTAATTAAAAAAAAATTTCTGAGGTACTAAGCTATAAAAGATATAAAGTAAACCTTTTTTTTCAAATATTAAATCCTTCAGGAATCATGTCAGGATAAATAAAAGTTGCTGGTGTCATAGTTGCCTCAACTCTCTCTCTCTCTATATATATATATATACAAGGGATTAAGTGAAATCCATTAAAAAATAAATTCAAGTTAGGTGAACTATACTGTAAAGCAACTACTATTTTTTTCCTAAGTATTATATTTTTGTGGGGGCTATTATAAATGGTATTGTTTTCCTGATTTCCTTTTCATCATTCTCTTTATTGGTATATAGGAATCCAACTGATTTTTGTTATGTTTATCTTGTATCCTGCTACTCTGCTGAATCTACTAGTTCCAGTAGTTTCTCGTGGAGTCTTTAGGGTTTCCTGTGTATAGTATCATATCATCCACAAACAGGGACAGTTTAAATTCTTCATTACCAATTTGGATGCCCTTTATTTCTTTTTCTTGCCTTATTGCTCTAGCTAGAACTTCCAGCACAATGTTAAATAGGAGTG